AGCAGGAAATATTATGGGATCTACACTCAAGCATTCACTGAATGGCAGCAACTTCTTCTACTCACATTGTGACATCTTGCTGATGGTCTCAAGAACAACCTTGTCAGTAAAAATATGCTGCACAGTTGTACAGTTAAAGTAGCTGCACTTGTGTTGCGTTGACAGTAAATCAATCCTGCAGGGAGCTGAAATAACAGTAATTCCATCTCACTTCCTGGTCACTGACAAGACCCCCCTAATCGAATCAGACTTAACTGAATCTGATGTCATTCACTGGCAAACAAGGTAAGCTGTGCAGTGCAACATCTAACATCTGCAGCTAGTGTTTTTAACTCTGCTTTGTTTCCCCAGATGGCAGGACATCCGCATCGGCCCTCGGGCCCATCAGAGCCCCCGCTGGCCAACACCACCGCTGCTTGGAACAAGCATATTCAAGCGGCTCTCCCTGAGGCCAGGGAAAATGGATATTGATCTGGAGCCATGACTAAATGGATTAAATTACAGAGTAGTGTTGGTAGTGCGGCAGCAGAGAGAATGAGACAAGAGGGAGGAGGAGGAACAAGAGATGGCGAGGGAGACAAAACTAAACAAGAAAGGTGGTAGTTGAAGTCTGAAAAAATGTTTGCCTTGCAACCTGATTTCTTTCTTGAGCATTCCTTTAATCCACAGCCCAACTAGCAGCCCTGTGCCATCATCCTTGCTCACCGTACTCCCCAGCATCATCCTAGTCTTCATGCAGTCATGGGCCAATTGGCTACAGAGGAGTAGCTAGACAGGGGATTATTGTCCTCCATTCAGCCAAGGCTGTTGAGTGGTAAGACTTCTAAATGTGTGCTGGGAGCAAAAGAAGACGCACAATCATGAATTCAGAACCTGAATAATCCCCCCGAGAGCGTAAATCTGGACGAATCTGGCTGACAGTCAGTCACAGTTAAAGTTGTTTGCAACAAACAGTTAATCAAGAAGCAAACCTTCTTAAGCCTTTCTCCTGCACAGCCTTGCTGATGGGCCCAGGGGCTGCGGAGAATCGTTTTCTGACTGTGTCTCCTGTGAGCTCTGATATTTGGGACATTAATGCATTCACTTGTGACAGGAATATCAAAGAGGTGAGCATGAACTGCTCTGGAAAACTGTAAAAAACTGAGGAGAAATTTCAGCCAACCTCAAAGGACTTTTACTTTGTGCTACTGAGCCTTTAGACCTTAAGCATTGCTATCGGTTTAATGATTCGACGTGATCATAGACACAAAACATCATAACCTGACTCTGAAGCCTTCTGTCTGTTGCAGCTTATTTTAGCAATCTTTTAATCCTTAATGCAAACATTTAAAATCTGAACCAAGAGTTTCTGTTCAGCAAAAGATCTCAGCTTGTTGTTATGAAGCTTAGCAGGGACTTTACAACCAGAAGATGCAAAATTTGTATGCAGGAGGAACAAATAGAGAGTGAAACCGTGATTTTATTTGAGTAGACTGCCAGTGGCATTCCTTCAGAACTCTGTAAAGCAAAACTATCTGAGCTAAGACTGCGTAGAGGATTCAGGTCCCACAGGAGGAGTTTTATCTCCTCAGCTGCCCTGGGAGCGGCTAACGCTAAATATCCCCCAGGAGAAACAGGAGAATATGATTCAGTTCCTCTTACTGATTTACCCAAAGGAAAACACAGTGCAATGTAGAGGAAATGCATCTGTACCACATTATACCTGGTTATGTCTAACCAAGAGTAGTTTTTATCACTTTGGAAGATAATTGCTGTATGATTAAAGATTTGACTTTGAAATTGAACGTTTTTTCATTTGGCTTTTCAGCTCCCAAGCAAGTAAGTGGTTAACATTGTAATAAAATTATTGCCATTTTGTATGTACAGTTTAACCGGATACTGCACAACTTTACTTACTTTAGTTACTATTGTTGTGTTTTTTGTCTAAATATGATTACATAATTAAATGGGAGCAAAATATAAGTGTTTATGTAGTCACTAACAAAAAATGTTTTGTAGGATTCAATTCATAAAAACAGAGCCTTTCTTTTTTTTTTTTTTTACCATATCAAGCTAAATTCTAATCTAAATGTTGTTCCTCAGGCTTAACTTTAAACTTTTAATATCAAACCACTATGGTTAATTGTTATAGTATAGACCCAAATGCTGGAAATCATCATAGGTCCATCCAACTGCAGCTTTTGTCACTGTGGTATCCATTCCCACTTCAAATTTCTGACCAGTCACACAATATTTGTCAGATATGACTACATCGCCTGGTCAGGCGATGCATCTAGAACCAACCAAGAATTGTAAAATCAAGGCAGTGAGACAGAACGATTTGATTTTTGCTCTTGCGGCCATTCGAGAGAGAAATTTTGCTGCTATTTTCTCACACTCTGAGGTGTATACTGTATGGGAAGTACTGGATTAATATTTCCAGAGCTGTTTAGGTACATTTTTAAAAGTCACTGAATTTATTGCAGTTAATCTCGTAGTAGTTACGTTGTAAATATGAAACCTGGAAAAACCACAGACGGAGGGAAAGACGTAAGGTTTAATATGTAGTTTTCTGTAAAACTAACACAGTGAACTTCCTTACAAAAACACACCTAAGGAGATCAGCTTTATACTAAATGCTTAAAAGCGTTTTTCTTCCAGTAAGACTTAATATAATCCAGATTTTCTATGATTTTCTTAACTCCAGTCATAAACACTCTCCGCCACTCCATTTCATTCCCTTCGGGGCAACACACCCCATCATTGCTGGACTGAATATTTATAAAGGCACCACGGATTTAAGATGACACATAAGCATCCGCCTATGCCCGACATACACATGAAATTAGCATTAACACAGCTTCATTTTGGTCTTGCTGTTGTGGAAACTGCATGTTTACAAGTCCTGCATGTTTGCAAGCTGCATGTTTGCAAGCCATGTTTGCAAGCTGCATGTTTGCAAGCCCTTTAAGAAGGGCTTGCATGTAATCTATGTGGTTCTCTGAAGATCAAAATGTACAAAAGGCTTTAATAGCGTCTCTCAAAAGTTAGGTGATGTTGTGCACAGCCATGTAACTGCATTGTCTTTGTCTTAATTTCCCTCCATTCTGAAATTGGCAAACATGGTGTAAAGCATATGGATATCTCTCCTCAACAAATTAGTTCCTCTTTTATACGTGGCCTAGAAATTTCTTAACCCACAGAGCCATGAAAATGTCCTCTGGGTGTGTGAGATACAAAGAAATTTGACAGTCCATGGAAGCACAGAAATCAGTCACTGCACATCATTCCAGTGTCTTGGCTGCAGTTGCAGAGCATCATGACTCTCTGGCTCCATCTGTTGAAACCATTTTATAGTTAAAGGCGAATGTTTGTGAGCACACTCAACCAAGCATAGAGGAGGGCACTGAAGTCTTGGAAGGCATTGTGCATACAAATGTCATCTGGGATAGCGATTCATTGGCTGCAGATGATTCTTACATAACACTTGTAATTCTTCAAACATGCCTGGCTGAGTAGATTAATGAGGGGTTGGGCAAACATTCTCATTTATCTGAGGCAGAAATATTAGAAATATCCATCTGTTTGCTCTATTTGCCAGCAATGTTCACTGTGATGCACATTTTGGATGTGGGCACACTCTGTTCAGGTCAGAAAACTATCACAGGAACTGTTTTAAACCCTTTAATAAGGTACTTACATTCAGTAAAACTTAATTATGTGATTATGTTGGGTTCAAACTAATCACATTTATGACTGAAAAGCCTGAAAAAAAGCTAATCTTTCAGCTTCACATTTACCAGCAAAAAAAAAAGGAGCATAATTTTTTTGTTGTGACAAATAGGTGTAATGAGCCCAAAACTTTCAGAATGGTGTGGCTTTTTTTAAACAACTTGCATGACGTAACACAGTCAATCCTCTGTATCTAAAGGCAGAGATGAGCTCTGGATGCATCAGTTAAACAGCATCACTTTGATCAAGCTTCACCTTTCTTCCTTTTTTTTAACCCTCCCTCTCTTCTTTGAGAAAAAGCAAACATTGTTTTTCCTTCTGAGTGATGTAGTCAAGTTCAGTTTTGAACACACCTTTTAATTCTGTCAGCAGCTCCAGAGTGCCTCCAACTGCCAAGTAAGAACTCAAATTTCTGGGACGCAGCATTTTAATGCTACCTGCATCATAAATCAATGTCTCTACAGATACACAGTAATGCCAACATTTGCCTTCAACATAAGGAAGTAAAAAAATGAAAGCAACAGTAGCAAATAATTTGGAACCCTATAATAAAACCCACAAAAAAATCAAGAATTTCTCCAAAATAATTGCCAAATGTGAAAGTCTTTGTTTCAGCTGGGATATTTCAAACAGATTTTATACTCTCAAATGTTAATAGCTTCAAGTTTCTTCTTGAAATTCCTTTAATGAAAGAACAGAGAATGATCGAGAAAGGTATGAAATTGAGAAGAGAGAAGCATAAACCCAGAGGTTTTCTGATGGTAAGTTAGTGTGAGTCCTTCAACAGATGAAATTTGAACAGTAATTTTAGTGAGGAACAATTTTCTACTTCTTAAATGGCAAAGTCCTGTTCAACACTCAAAACAAGAACAGAAATCTAAAGTGAGTTTACACATATTCTATACTAAACCTACAGATCTACAGGTACATCTTAATAAATTAGAATGTCATATTTAAAGTTCATTTTATCATTTGAATTCAAAAGTAAAACTTCCATATAACAGTGATACATTTCAAGTATTTCAATTTTTTATCATTTAATCTAAAGAAAAATGTAAATTCCTTTTCTCAACATTTGATGAGAAAACAGTTTTTTTTTGTTGAGGGTGTCAACAGTTATTCAGTCTATGACTGAATAACTGTTTGGTTAATTCGATTATGACACCATTCAACACATCTGGATTTCTTTAACTAAATAGCTGAATTAATGACATTTTTGATGATAATCTGCATTTATGAATTCTAAGGTTTCTGGCAAGACAAGCCAAAAATAAATAAATAAAAAGAAAAATTTTCAAGCATTGTTTTATTTCTAAACCAATGGAAGTGATGTACAAAATCATTTAAAACCACAACAAAGGGGGAAAAAAAAGAAGCAACTAACATGAAGTCAAACACTCACATGGGTGATGAACAGTTTGTTTGTGTAGGGAGAGATTATTCTAGGTTCTTAGATTGACTCAAACCCAGTAAATAAATATAAGACAATAAGAATTCTAATAGAAATGACAATTATAAAGTAAAGATTATTTTCCACCTGGAACAAATGTGAAAGTTGCACTGAAATCTTTTGTTTTTTTTTTAAACATCTTCCCTGGACAGTATCTGTTCATGGCAACAATGAGAGCGCAAAGTCTTCTTGGCTTTATCTGTCTGGTCGCACCATGCCTGGCCTGACGGGCATCATCATGGGACGAGGGTGGCGCATCATGTGTGGAGGTCCTGGCATCATTTGCATGGGTCCTCCCATCGGTGGCCTCATGCCTCCTACAATAGAAAATGGGACACAGAGCTGAGAGGAGGCTTTACAACAACTCAGCTATATAAAGAGTGATAATTTTACAAACACTTAAAGGGGCAATTTTATGTATTTTGCAGGCACACTGTCCTGTGAAATGGCACCATCAAGTAACTTAAGTTGCAATAAAAATGCTGGACATATCAAACATAACTAAAAAGACATTTGACTTCCTAATTTAACACCTTGACTTTCGGCCTCCATCATTTTAAGAAGCTCCTGCTCTTTCCTACACTATGCCTTCAGGGCAAAATCACAACATTGTTCCTTCACTAAGGCTTAACAATGTTTTTGCTAACTGAGAAGTAGCTCACATGAGTAGCTCAGACACTCATACGAGTAGTTTCACCAGGTGTTTAACTGATGCTAGTCTGGTGGAGTTGAGTGGGGAAGTTAAGGCCGAAGATTGGAGACGGCAGCTCAGTGGAAAAAGCAGCTCTTGGTGAGACTAAGCGTTTTGCACACCTAAATAGTTACCATGGAAGATTGAAAGATTCTTAAAACATTCATGAAAGAATCAAAGCAACACAGTTTTTGATTAGGAAATAACAATTTAACATGATGTAAAGCCCCAAAATGTGGATTTTACATAATACTTTCCCTCTAAGAAATTGCCATCATTTCACTGTAAACGCATGAATAAACATTGACTTATTGTACACTGCAGATCTGTGCTCCTATAAGCTTTAGGCAACAGTCACATCATGCTGTACTTTATTAATCAAACTGCAGAGAAGCATTAACTGCATCCTGAACAATGGGCTTTCTTATTATGACCTTTTCCAATGTCTTACTCAGTAAACACAGTCTTGGCTATTATGAGGAGATGAGAAAGATTTGCAATCCAAAATTTCACATAAACAAACAAACAAAAAACCTGTGGTTTTTCAGGGTGAATTTAAAACCCTGGAAAGGCCAAAGGCACTTCAAAGGAAGGTGCTCCTTACCAGGTCCACCGGGCATCATTCCATGAGGCGGAGGCCCCATCATAGGCATCATTGGAGGGCCTCCCATTGGCGGTGTTGGTAGCATGCCTGGCCGTGGAGGTCCTGCTATGCCACAAACACAAAATATTACAGAGACACGGCAACATATGTGAACAGCACGTTGCAAGATTTGCTAATATGCTGCTGTTTGATTAAAATGACACTGCCTACATTTTCAAAATTTTAAAGAGAAAGCAACACTATGTATTCATTTGAAATATTTTTTTACTTTAATTCGAAGGGATCTGAAATGACAGACTGACCTGGAGGAGGACCACCAGGAAACGGTGTGGGGGGAATCTTTCCCTGCTGAAAAGCAGCCGCTGTTGAGTAAGAAAAGCAAAATATATTAAAACACAGAAAAGCATCAAACAAATGATTATACGTAAAGAACACAATGTCACTGGCTTGTGTCAAGATTTAATGTCATCCATAAACTACACACAGAATGCAAACAACAATACAGCCAAATGCATGAGGCCTTTAACATTTTACCATTGCAAATTCGTCATGTAATGCTATTGTCTGCAGCTGCTCTAAGTGTGGGTGCAGAATGAATGACATTACCAATAAACCAAAACATTGAGGAGCAAAGAATGATCTTTTTGTTGCAAAGAAGCATTTCATCTGCCAAATGTCACATCCTCACTTATGGCCCAAACTGTGCATCAGCTTTGCATTACATGTGCGGATTAGAGGTTTATAATCTCAGAGGGGGAGAAAAATAAGCTGTGATGGAGAGAGAGGCCAGTGTTTGAGAAAAAGAACTTTGAAATCCCACATGTGGAATATGTAACAGGCTTTTACTGTCTACGGTTGACCACATGACTTATACCAAAAAAAAGCATGCAGCGCTCACATTGTAAGAGGGAACATGCAAGCAAGATAAAAATCACTAGTACATTTCTGCCCCTAGAGGTCAGTTTCACATACAAAAAAAAGCATACAAAAAAATAAGCATACTATGATCTACTTTTAACATTTCTGAATCTTCTATAGTTAATATTTAGAAAATCCTACTCATTATTCAGTAAAACATTTTTACTCCTTATGTAAAACAAAGAAATTACTAAGGCTGCTTTTTTAAAAATCTCTACTGAATACAATTTAAAAAAAAAAAAAACTTTCATCTTTCTTAAAGAATAAACACATGGAAGAGGGTTCTATAAAAACCTTTTTCAAATACAGACGCAGGTTAAAACATTGATCCTTCAGTGAAACCACAGATAGACAATTCTGCAGACATAATTGTTAATCCATGCTAAACATTTGTGAATGATGCTGTTGAGTAGGCCTAAAAGCTAAATCACCTCCAACAAGCTGCACACCAAAGTTATTTTTCTGCAGTTCAAGTCAAATTATAAAAAAAAAAAAAAAAAAAAAAAAAAATCAACTCAAGTTGTATAGACTGATCATAGACAAAGTGTTATATTCTCAATCTTTATTTCAGTCAAATTAATATTGTCAAACAATATTAAACTGGAAATATTAATCTGAAATTCTGTTTCTACATAATAACATTCAAATTACATAAGACAACATATCAGCATTCATACATATAGCGCTCAATCCTGCTATGTTATCCTTTTTTCAAGAGCAATTATACCTAGCACACATTTTTCTTCCACTCAATTTTCCAATACCGTGCCTGGATACAGCACTCTGAACAACCATCTCTTAAGAGGTGATCTTTAGTGCCTTATCCTCCTTGTGGAACGCATCAGTAACCGTCTCCTGGACCAATACAGTCAGAAGTCTTACCCATAATACTATAGGTTATGACAAAAAAAATGTCTGTGCGATAAATTTCATTGGTCAATGTACTTCTCCAATTTTATGAACTGATTTTTAAATTTATTAGCTGGAATAAATAAATCACAATAAGCACAATAAGTGTTTCACATTGTATTCAACAAGTTTCTATAACATACAAGGTTTTATTTTTAAAATGAATCACAGATGTTTTACGGTATTCTAAATTACACACATGCAACCAAAGTGTATGTCTTAAATGTTCTATAAATAATGTGCTTTCCTCTGTGGAAATGTTATTAGGGGGTGATAAATGCATAAGACAGCCAATCTGTGTGAAAAATGTTACAACAGTTAAGAACACTGATTCAATTTTAAGGCAAAATTGTATCAATTTTATCTGTTTCCTTCTGTCAGGAAACAGACAGAAGGCAGGCACACATAACTCACTATGGCTAAATTAAAAAAACAAAACAATAAAACCTAAATATTGACAAGATGTGTGTGTTTTATGAGATGGAGTAAGAAATTAATTGTGATTCAATTTAACTTGGATCACAATTCTAAGAAAGACATATCAGATCTTGGCACCCTATTCAAGAGTGCATACTAAATAAAGTGGATTATTATCATTAGAAAATGATGTGCAAATAGGGACATCTTGATTATATAATTGGAAGGCTTAGCTTTTCCATATTTATGCAAAGCATTTTAGAACAGAGTAATCCAGAAATATTATACAATAAATAATTAGCTACTTCAGAAACTAACGTTAGCTAAAGTCCAGAGACATTTACTTACTTGTTTTATCAATCAAGCTCTGCGCCTGCTCCTCCATCCATTTCTGGTAGTAATCTTTCACATTTTCTTTGTGTTTTCGGCCACTGCAGTGAGTCTTCCTCACTGAAGGCTAAGACAGAAACAGAAAAAAGAGCTGGTTACGTTTGAGCAGAATGTTGTGAAATATCCTAAATACTCAATGTGCTACATAAAGAAGGCAAAGGCCAGAGTACATTTAGCTTGTGCGAATGTTTGTTACAAGCAACTATAATCTGTTTTCCAGAAGCCATTTTTGGATCGTTTTGCAACTTCAGCTTAGGTTTCTACTTGAGATGTGAGGAGGAAAAAAAAATCTATCATATGTTCACTTTCAGAGGACAGTTTTGCATGACTCAGATCAGCTTCATTTATCAAATTTTGTGACAAAATAAGGAACTTGGCTTGTTTGCAAACTCTTAACATAATATGTATAAATATATTAAATTCAGAAGGAACAAAATAAGAATGAACTTTAAGACCACTCATATGTTCTTCACATGATCAACTTTATTGACAAAACAAATATCCCAATTAGACATACATGGAGAATAATTTTTCCATCAATTCATGACTTTTTATAGATTGATAAACTGGTACACAGATTTGTAAAAATCTAGTCAACAAATTAGGTAGAAACAATTGTCACTTACCGAATCATGTGTAAGGTATGTGTCACAATAGTCACAATAAAACCTGTGGAATAAACAAACCAAAAAAAATGTCTTGTGAATAGAAACAAAGGCACTGATGTCTAAATCAAAATTGCATGCCAACATCCAGATGCATCGGAAGAAATAGAGGACATAATTCACATCTGCATTTAAAAAATTTGACTATATACATATTTATACATATTTGTATGTCTTGCTTGAACTTTACTCTTTATAAATATTTCTTTTTCACTTTATACTCTTCAAATGATCTTTTTGAAACTATGGCTTGTTTCTAGGGTATGCTGGCTTGAATGTACAATTCTATTGTGTTTCTATTGTGGAAATTACTTGTTGGGCTCTGAATTATTTAGAAAAAACAATCTTTTCTTGCTGCTCTAAATCGTTCGATGAAAAAATGAAATGACTATTAAATACTACAAGATTAACTTAATACTGGCTCTAACCTAAAAGGCAAATTTAAAAGTCCGAAAAGAGCAGCATATTTTGTACAAATAAGTCATGGAAATGAGATGAGTTGAGATCGAAAAATAGCACAGTTACAGAATGGCTTGTGTGAAGAAATATAAAACAGTTGCTAAAATATTACGAAATAATTATCTTTAGCGTCCAAAACTACTTATGTTTTGTTGTGTTTCATAGATTTCCTATAAAGATAACCGTTTCCATTGAGTGTCGTTCCAGCAAATAGACACATCCCAAACAAAGAAAGATCAGCAAGAGTTAAAAGATTTCAAATGTTATGTTTGCACAGCTCGTGACTCAGTAAGAGTAAAACATAAGCATTATTCCGTCTGAACTAGGAGAGATTTAATACCAAATAAATAAAACCACACATTTTTTAACTTACTTCGGCATGTTCTCCGCAAGCTACGTTGAGAGCGCGCGGTTCCTGTGTTCCCAAAAACCCTCTCGACCCGCTATGAAAGGCGGAACACAGACAGTTCCGCTGAAACATCGCGAGAATTCGGTATATTTTACCATTATACACACACACACACACACACACACACACACACACACACATACGTATGTATATATATATATATATATATATATATATATATATATATATATATATATATATATATATATATATTATATAATATATATATATATATATATATATATATATATATATATATATATATATATATATATATATAAGGGCTGTTGGGCCCAGTCATGTTAACTAATAGGTCAGTGAGAGGATGCCACAGAATTTTAATAGACATTATCAAAGCAGACTCTATTTTATTATGATTTTAATGTGAAAGATTCTATAACAAATCTATCTACATAGAATAATTCAAAAACCATAGCTGAATGACTGTGACATTTAAATCATCGAACAGTAGTGAACATAAATAAATAACATAATATAAAAACGGATAAGGTTCTGATGGAAATTACTTGTTGGGTTCTGAATTATTTAGAAAAACTATAATCAGGGACGCTTGATTTAGTTATTATTATGCAGTTCAAAAAATTTAAACACATTTTAACTTCAGACGGTGCAGCAGTTGTGTCTTAATATACTTTATCTATTTTTTAACATGCTGAGAAGAATTCTATTTCTAAAATATATACTAGGTGCACTATTGGCATCCACACCCATAACTGCGACGTCACTAAAGCACACGATGTCCAATTTTTCACTTTGCATTAGCATTTAAATTAATTTCATAAATTGTACCTAACTAAAATGTTCCAAACTTATGTCCACTGAAGGGCCTATGAAAAATTGTCAGAATTCCAGAAGCATAATCTCAATTGGCTTTTTCTTATCAGTGTGCGCTGAAATATGTTTTACATGAATTTCATTGATAAACCAATGAGAAGGTGGCCACAAATAGCAACAGATGACGTTGAAAGTGACGCACGCACTGTTGCAACGTCAAACGTCGTCCCCCCTTGCTCGTGCCATGCGCACTGACGCTTGTTGTTGTTGTTATTGAGCTGGTCGTTATGGCTGAACGAGGCCTCGGACTTAACTGAAAGAGGACCCCCGCCTCGGGACGACCCGCCATCTATGGAGGGCACAGACATGGACGTGGACGCAGAGCTCATGCAGAAGTTCAGCTGCATGGGCACCACGGACAAGGACGTCCTCATCTCGGAGTTCCAGAGGCTGCTGGGCTTCCAGCTCAACCCGGCCGGCTGCGCCTTCTTCCTGGACATGACCAACTGGTGAGCGCGGGGATTGGTGGGCCTGTTGTTGAACAGCACCATGGCGCTAACTTAGCTCTTGGGTTAGCTAGTTATCTTATGTTAAAATTATAAAAAATAAAGTGGCCATTGTGGACCAGGAATGAGTGCAGATGGTCAGTGCGGCACGGGTCATTTTATCCTTCGGTTACGGGAAATGGCTGTTAACTCTTAGTGGGCCATTTGAGGTAAACGGAAGTGAAACAGTAAAGTTTGCCCTGACCACGAGTTCTAATGCCGCGACAAAGTTCCAAAAACAATACCGACCTGGTTGAGAAATTTAACGTAAACAATTAAGCACTTTATATCCCTGGGTTAGGTTATGTTTGTTGTATTATGTAATAGCGTGGAGAACTGCTCAAAGTGAGCTGTTTGGGAAACCACCACTCAGATCAGAATCAGTCGTGATCTCTCAGGAGGCAAAAGCAAGAGCAGCAGTGATCCAAACGCCTCTGTTTTCCTGATCAAATGATCTAATTAACGGACGTGATTCTTTGTGATTTTAGTCACTGAAACGTTTTAGGATGGTGTCCCACAGCCTCCACACAAAAATAACTGATAATTATTATTGCAATTATTAAATATGCAAAGTGTATTACCTTTAGGACCTCCGGGCAGTTCAGTTCTTTGGTAATTAGTACATCCATTTCATACATGTACAATATCGTTTCCTATTGAAAGACACAATTTAGACATACAGTTTTCATTTGGTAAATTCTGTAAATTGGCAGTTGAAATGCTATTAAATATCAGATTTGATTTATGTTTCTGTTTGTTCAATGCATTGAATTGAAGAACTTCCAAACACATAGGTCAACAGCATGTACTTTTTTCAGCAAATCTGTAGCTACAAATATATCAGGATTTCTATCTCCATGTTCGGAAATCACTCTGGCTCTGTGATCTCTGTAGGTTCACTTGTATGGTGTTTAAGGAAAAAGGTGATCCGTTAAGGGGTTTACATTCAGTTCTGATCTAAAAGGGAGTTGTGACTAAACTAAACTGGCTTGAAAGTTACAAAACCTTCTTTTAAAAAACTTCAGCATTTTACATCCAGGTTGATCTTTTATTCAAGTGAACACCTTGATCTCTGCAGTCTCTCACCCCCACCCATTCTTCCTGGATGTTCTCTAGTGTTCTTTCAATTTCTAAAGCTGTGTCCCTGCCTATTCATATTCAAGTTTGTAACTGGTTTAACAACACAACAGATATACAAAATGCATTAAGCTTTCGCAGTTAAAGTGCAAAACTCTTAGTTTGCTGTAGTCCATGACTTAAATATGCTTCACTTAAAGAAAAGTGCTTGTTTTTTGTCAGAAACCTCTATCAAGTAAAGTATTTTAACAACGTTCTCCAAAACGCAGCTGTAACTTGACTTGTGAACATGAGTTGTAGCAATTTGACTTGTTTAAAAACTCTAAGGGAAGCAATATAACACAATCTTCTTCCCAAAGATTCTGATAGAATGTTTGGTGGATGTTAATGCATGCTAAAAATGTGATGATCCCCTGCTTTCTTTTTGTTATGCTGAAACAGGAACCTTCAAGCTGCTATTGGTGCATATTATGACTTTGAAAGCCCCAGTGTCAACACACCATCCATGTCCTTTGTTGAAGATGTGACAATTGGTGAAGGAGAGTCTGTTCCTCCGGACACACTGTTCACAAAGACCTGGAGAATACAAAACACAGGTACATGCCTTTTTACTACATCTTAACTCTGTCAGGAAGCATCTTTGAACCTTTAAACAACACTAAACGTCACACAATGTTTTTCTTAACTTTATTTTTTGCTTTTATATTTTTCTCATTTGTAGGCGGAGAGTCATGGCCGCCAGGTGTTTGTCTCAAATACATTGGAGGGGATCAGTTTGGACATGTAAACTCAGTTATGGTGAAGTCTCTAGACCCCCAGGAAATTTCAGATGTGAGTGTACAGATGAGAAGTCCTACAAACCCAGGCATGTACCAGGGCCAGTGGAGGATGTGCACAGCAGCCGGGTTGTTCTACGGAGGTAGGGAAAACTGCAGAATTTAATTTCTAAGTCTTAGTAGATATATTTTTTTTATTTTCTCATAGCCCAGCAATGACAGTACATAAGACACATACACAATTTTTTCCCCTAACTGTTTGAAATTAAAGCCAACCAAACTTTTAGATTTAGATCAGTTAGGATTACCAAAATGATTTGTATTTACTAAATGCTACAATAATGAGATAGGGAATTTATTGATATTGACATATACAAAATTAGATATCAATAAGTATCTAATTTAATGAATATTTAGTATTGAAAAATCTAAAAATACTGAGTTGATAATTTGATTCTTTGCCAAAACTGACTTTTTTGTCCTTAAACGTCTTTGTAACCTTTTTGTCTTATGGCCATTATCCATTATGAAGACCAATCTGTGCCTAAGCTTAAACTTGGCTAATGTCGTTAGTTGTTACTTCAATATTTCCACATAAATATTTTTTTCCTCATGATTCCATCTATTTTGTAAAGCACACCAGTTCCTCTTGCAGCAGGGTGTCCAGGCATCCTTAAAAAATCTTCATTTGTTTAAAATAAAGGCCTTAAAATGTCTTTAAATTAATTAAAAAAAATAATTTGCCCTTATTGATATATTTATTGATAGATTTCTTATTAGAAGGTTCATCATCTGGGTTTTCCCTCATTAAAGAGATGGTACTTATTCTGCATGTAAACTTTCAATTTTGAAGAAATGAAAAAAAAAAACACATCTCTGGCATATTATTTCTCTCGTTATATGGATTACAACTGTATGTCCTTGTTTCTGCAGATGTGATCTGGGTGATTCTTAGCGTAGAAGTCGGAGGTCTCCTTGGCGTCACTCAGCAGCTTTCTTCCTTTGAGACGGAATTCAACACGCAACCGCAACGTAATGTTCAGGGGGATTTCAACCCGTTTGCTTCGCCACAGAAGAACAAGCATGATGCCTCTGACAGCAGCTTCAGAGACCCCGGTGGAGCCTGGGAGCGCACACAAGAGCCAATCCAGCAAGATCAGAACGGACTGTCTCATAATGCTGTAAATAGGGCGTCAAACGGTCTCCAAACAAATCTTTCTGTGGTGACTTATGGCCAGGTATGTAAGTTATATAAATATAAATACTTTTGATATCTTTGGGTGGGGTATGTAAAGAGTTCATTTTTACATGCCCCACTGCTGAACTAGCATTATGAAATGCTAGTTCAACATATCACAATGCAGATATGCTGAACTAGAACAGTGATTATTTGACTAAAACCCAGTTCTGCCTGAAGTTTTGGCATATTTTCATTAATAATTAATATTTTTATTGTAAAACATTTTGCCAGCAGAGGAAAACACAAAGATCATGTCGGTTGAAGGTAAAAAGGTCTGTTTATTTGCACGACTCATCATTTTGAAACGTTTTGAAAAGACTCTGCAAAATCTGCAGGACAACTTTCACAGTGCACCCACCATTAAGATAAGTTTTAATGATTATTTTTAATTATCTTAATGCTGGGTGCTTTAACAATCAGAATTTAATACTGTTAAGTTGATTACATCTAGTCCTTTTTGCACTGTGGGGTCCGGCCTGGCCCAGTTCTGCTCCGTTCGACCCGGTCCCATTGGTCCTATAGCCTGGGTTATTTAAAGCATTTTAAACTTTTTAAGAGTGAAGAAGTCTGCAAATATTTTATTAACTAATGTTAACAAATATTTTATCTTTGAAACTGACTATGGATATTGGCCTGGGATACCAATA